GCTCGAATGTATATTATTTCACTTTTTTATAATTGATGCTAACTTTAATAATGATTTTAATTTATATATGACACATTTAGCATTTGCTATGTTAGTTATCTTATATTTATAAACACCAAGAGATTTGTGATTAAATAAGTCTTCTTTACATTTATTACATTTTAATACTAATATCTAAAAAAAATGTATACTAATATAGCAACAAAATCATTCTGGTTTCGATATGCCATAGATGCATATCTGACTCCAAGACGAGTACTATTTATATATCATGTTCTTTTATTACAGGCTTCGAATTTCCCCAAAGCCACTGCTTTGAGGTGATAAAAACTAACAACTACAATTTTTGAAAAATACCGGTTAAGGTTTGTTTCACCCGAGGCTGTAATCTATCCCAGTAAGCAGATGGGCCTTGTGATAACATTGTCTTAATTTAAGTAATGATAAATTAGACAATTTAATTATTGGACAGAGACAAGAGAACTATTTTAAAAATATTTACGTCATGGAGGCTACTCAATTTTGAAAGGATAAAGGATGAAACATTTCATTTTGTTCTGAGGTAGTTTATAAATTAATTGTAACTGTGATTGTACTTTCCACGGATAAAATACATGTTTGTCTGATACGAATATGCATCAATATAAAAGGAATTATATCAAACTTTAGCAAACTAACACTTCTCTGCAATGTAATTGTAGTCGTCTATGGGAATTTCGGGTGAACGACCTGTGCTCACTTAATATACTCTCTCAAAAAAGAAGCGCATAACGAAAATGGTAATGGGTGGGTACAGGGTGGGTTTTTCAAAAATATTTGTTTTGTTTATGATTTATCTGGTGTTTTTGTCTTAAAACGTCATATCAAAACGCATTCCGCATGAAAACCCGTATGTAAAAGCATAATTTAAAGGACACGTATTGCACGTGCAATACGCGGGAAACTCGGGGATCACACCGTGTCGTGTCGTCTTCACAAGAAGACAGTATTTGCCTAGCGGTAGTGGTCGCTGTAGCTGTTCGCTGTAGCTGTTCGCTGATGCAGGTAATGTACCCGGATGTACTTATCTTGCGCCGCAGTGGTGACTCGAGGATGTCCATTTCTAGGTCCATCTTCCACCTAGTTCTGCTGCCGATATCTCTCCCAGAGACGAGAAATCGTGCTTTGATAAACATTCATTCGACGGGCAACTGTAAGTTGAGATTGTCCTGCTTCCAGGAGACCTGTGGCGATGTGACGATTGGCGCGGCTCCGTCTTGGCATTTTGCAGTCTTCACAAATAAAGTGAATGAAAAAAGTACGCAGATCGATCTTTAATACCCAACCACGACACGGTGTGATCCCCGAGTTTCCCGCGTATTGCACGTGCAATACGTGTCCTTTAAATTATGCTTTTACATACGGGTTTTCATGCGGAATGCGTTTTGATATGACGTTTTAAGACAAAAACACCAGATAAATCATAAACAAAACAAATATTTTTGAAAAACCCACCCTGTACCCACCCATTACCATTTTCGTTATGCGCTTCTTTTTTGAGAGAGTATATTAAGTGAGCACAGGTCGTTCACCCGAAATTCCCATAGACGACTACAATTACATTGCAGAGAAGTGTTAGTTTGCTAAAGTTTGATATAATTCCTTTTATATTGATGCATATTCGTATCAGACAAACATGTATTTTATCCGTGGAAAGTACAATCACAGTTACAATTAATTTATAAACTACCTCAGAACAAAATGAAATGTTTCATCCTTTATCCTTTCAAAATTGAGTAGCCTCCATGACGTAAATATTTTTAAAATAGTTCTCTTGTCTCTGTCCAATAATTAAATTGTCTAATTTATCATTACTTAAATTAAGACAATGTTATCACAAGGCCCATCTGCTTACTGGGATAGATTACAGCCTCGGGTGAAACAAACCTTAACCGGTATTTTTCAAAAATTGTAGTTGTTAGTTTTTATCACCTCAAAGCAGTGGCTTTGGGGAAATTCGAAGCCTGTAATAAAAGAACATGATATATAAATAGTACTCGTCTTGGAGTCAGATATGCATCTATGGCATATCGAAACCAGAATGATTTTGTTGCTATATTAGTATACATTTTTTTTAGATATTAGTATTAAAATGTAATAAATGTAAAGAAGACTTATTTAATCACAAATCTCTTGGTGTTTATAAATATAAGATAACTAACATAGCAAATGCTAAATGTGTCATATATAAATTAAAATCATTATTAAAGTTAGCATCAATTATAAAAAAGTGAAATAATATACATTCGAGCATAAAAAGTTTAGTATCTTCAAATTGGCCTCCACATCGACAAGACGGATCGGGGAAGATTTGCCTTAGTATAGCCGTACCTTATTTCACAAGTGCAAGTTGTCTGTTAAGATACTTAAATTATATGAACTATATGATCGCTTATGATACTGTGTTATAGACTACATGAACACACAACAAATGTTAAGTAATTATATGAAGGTGATTTCATAAACATCATTCTACCCACAGCTTATTCTGTTCAGTTAAATTAATTCCAACGGAAAATGTTCATGCATCAATGTTTTATGAAGTTATGTACAAACGTAGATTTGTACCCTTGGTAAATGCATATAGCTGTACATGTACATCTTCCGTATTTTCAAACAGACAAAACGATTACTTGAAGCAGATGATATCTTTACTACCTTTGCGTTACAAACGGAACTGAGCATATTCTATCCCAGTAGATGGAGAAGAGGATAATCCCATTGTTTTTTTGTTCAACTAATAGAACTGTTACATGAGGATCATTTGCCAGACATTCTCATTCACAACAAATCAAACACGAGTTTAAATATTATATTTACTAAATGATGCAACCATTATATATGATAAATACGTGAATTAGTAGTGAGGCGCTCTAACAGAACAGAACTTTGGTTAATGAAGACATGAAGCAACAATCTACGTCTTGTTTTATTAGATGTAGAACACGAAAACACAAATATTGGTATTCGTCACCGATGTCTTTTAAACCACATAAAGTGCATATTATTTTATTATGTAGGATACATTGCCACCAACCTAATCTAATTGGCATATAAAAGTCAGCCAAGCATCATCTACGTAGAGTATAGCTTCATCGATCGCGACGTCGATGTTACTCTCATCTATGTAGATGATACATTTTCTTAGACCGTGGCCCTAATTAATACGCTTCCGCAAGCGTTAGTGCTGTAAATAAACATGTGAGTAACAGTTTGTGATGTTCTTTCCTTACTCCTTACTGGCTGACCGATGGGTGAAGAAAGGACGGAGTCCACTTAAACCGTAGGTAACAGGCATGGGATTAGTAATGAATCAACCATCTAACAAGTGGGATGTCTGACAGATAGGAGGACACCAAATTTACGGGTCACCAATTTTCTAACATTGAATGTAAAGACACTGGACAACGACAACCACCTGACTTTGCCGGATGGTGACGGAAGCCATACACTAGACCGTGACTGTACTGTTTTTCTCCTTTTTTCCAACATTTGAAATATTGGGTTCACGTTTCTTTCTTTTCACATATGTTGATACCTTTGCCATCAAGGCTCATATGACCCCATCCCCTCGTCATAAAGTTGATATTCATGCTAGCTCAAAAGAAACTTTGAATTATGTTTGTAGTACACCCCCAAAAGAGGGATTACACAAGTGATATATTATAATGACATACAACTTATACATACTTACGTGTATAAACTACTATCAAACAGTGAGGATAACAGGTGTTTGCAAAAAGGTGAGCATATCCTGTCTCACCGGTTGAACAAACACATGCAAAGGCAAGTTAGTTGTTAAACCAGAAAAACACGGAAACGTATTGCACAAGTCATAACAGAGAATTTCATCGGACATAACTCCATTTGCTACTTCTGTGGTAGTCACCGATCAACCAATTTATACTTCCAAAAATAGCTTCAACCCTTTTAAAGCTTTGGAGAAATTCAAAAGTATGAGTATGGTCTGACAAAGCAAGAAGCACAAATGGGGCATGTTTCGGCCAATGATTCGAGTATTCTTGCAAGTCTAAGGGTCCAGGGGCGGTCGGGTAGCCTAGTGGTTAAAGCGTTCGCTCGTCACGCCGAAGACCCGGGTTCGATTCCTGACATGGGTACAATATGTGAAGCCCATTTCTGGTGTCCTCCGCCGTGATATTGCTGGAATAATGCTAAAAGCGGCGTAAAACCATACTCACTCACACACTCTAAGGGTCCAACAGGAGTTATTTCTGCGACATGCTATTTCAAAACCAAAAATTAAGAGTGATATTTATGAAAAGAAAAATTGAAATAATACGAATATAAATTCCTTCCAGGTGAAGGCTATCACTGTAAATCAAAATAACAAGGCAAATTTAAGTCAAAGACACATCTCTTGAGGTAGAAGTTTATCTCTGTCACCATTCTATGGTATTTCTGGAAAGGAAAGTTAACTTACAAAGTTGTAATGTACGTGAAAGGCTTTATGTTGCTGATTAAGCTCAAAGATATAAACTCTCACAGACTGCTCAGTAACATTCATGTAATATTAGTAATATCCAAATAAGTGTACTTGTTCTTGGTGTGTTTGACGTGGATACATATTTTAGTAACCAATGTATTATGATCAGGGTCCATTGGTATCCCTTCAGCAAGTGCGAATCAGGTCCTAACACATTTGTTTTGTCATGTATCACGCGCTGCACAGTCCAACCTCGCTTATCCGGACATTTGTTTTTTTTCTAAAATGTCCGGATAAACGAGTTTCTGGATATCTGAATACCTTGTTAACTGACCAGAAGTCCTTCCCCTTACCTCGATTCTACCGAGGCATATGTGAAATGATTGGCAAAAATATGATTTATGAAGGATCGACCAATTACTTGTCTCGGCAGCCTTATATTATTGCTACTTTTATCCATCGTAAGGCCGCTCCTCTACTCTCTGCATGTAATGAGTTGTACGAGCTACCCGTACCTGGCTTAAAAGCCTAATTCACGGGCTTCTACCTGTGACGTCACGGTAATTTGAACGCACAGTCAATTGTTACCTGTCAGCCTGGTAGGATTGGGCGACAGCACTCAACACTTTTCTCATGTTGACGTTTCATGTTACAGGTAAGCACCTCCCTTATATATGCCTTCTACATCTATATCTTATTGCTAGTGTATCAATTAAATGGAATATCAAGTAGTGTAACTTCAAGTTAGTAAAGAATCGATCGCGTATATTGTAAACATCGCGCTATTCGCTATTACTAACTTAATCACTGCACTAGCATAGTACGCAGGTACAGTGTGTGAAAGGAATGACACTATATGTATATATACTTCATATTTTAATAACATATTATACCAAAAACACAATTTTATGGATTACTGACTTCGCGCCATAGGTGTGACGTCAGCATATTATCTCATTTTAAAAGCACTCTATGCATAGCCATAGTGCTTATATATATATATATATATATATATATATATATATATATATATATATATATATATATATATATATATATATTGCCTATGTTACTCCTATCATTACTGCATACATCATATATAATAGTATAAAGTCAATTGTCACCTGTCAGCCTGGTAGGATTGGCTCAACAGTTTCACAGGCAAATTAATACATTTTAAAATAAGCTCCGTCTTCAATATTTGTCTGGGACCACTAGAAGCCTGAAACTGCGACTTACTAATAAAATACATTGTGCTGTACAGTCCTACACAGCAGGCTGTGACAACGCACTGCATTACTAAAATGGCTGACGAAATGCATATGTGACCTAGTTTAGACAATGCACTTGTTTTGTGTACAGATGTGACGGCGAGGTTAGGGCAACCTGACACACCTGAGCATTAATAGCCATGTTTACCTGTACCAGTTAACTGCCAAGGTTGAACTCATTCGTGTGTGAAAGATGTTGTCGAGTCATCTGTACATCTTCTCCGCGATTTGCATTATTAAAGCAAGGCATCGTATACATTCATATATATTTGTTGAGCACGAAAACATGAAGTGTAGACCGGACATTTCCTCGAAACTATGGGCGGCCATGTAGCTTCAATATCTTAATGTTATATCACTGAACATTGGTCAAGGTATATTCAGTAAACAAAGATCTGAGGGGCTGTATTTCCTTCATCGAACACACGCTGCGTTCATCACAGTTTATGACTTTCTAATGCAATTTGGAATCATGCAGTTGTTAGGCCTACGGATACAAACGAACTAGCACTTGTTTGGCAGGTAGGTTTTGTTAAGATTTGTTATCTTGTTCTCTCTCTACCCTCTACTTCCTTAATCATAATTTAAATCCTGAATAGACTTTCGGCCTTAACACTGTGGCAACTTTAGACCCTCTGTTTCTGTATTTACTTGAGCTCATTTCCCCTAATGTTTACATCATCTCATAAGACTAAGTCATCAATGATGTCAAAGCTGTCTGACATGTTTCTTTTGAAAAGTTTATGAAGCTAAACAATGTCCAAGTGACTTAAGCCAAAAATACGCGCTATCCATTTGATCGATGTTTGTATGTGATTTTTGGGGAGAGGAGGTGCTAATTACTACTTAAAAAACAGAGATCATATTAGATTACTAATGAGATGGTGATGCGGCTCAGGTTATGAAACAATCTGAACTCAGTCTTGAAGTACTACACAATACGCTGCCTAGGACCCCAGCTTCAATAGCTACAGTGTGCAAATATTGTTTGTGAATGAGATAAGCTATATTGTTAGATTTAGCTCTCAGGATGTTAGTTCTTGAAATGCATGACGTAGCAGTTCCCTCATGCACTCAATATATGCTATTTTAGTATCCAAGTATCTTCAGGCGACATTTCCCAGACAGTGGAAAATATTCATCCTTATTCCAACACAATATTTACAAGCAAATGAGGAAGAGACAAACGATTTCTGTGATGAGTGAAGCACTGTATGTGTGTGTGCGCGCGCGTGCGTGCGTGTGTGTGCGTGTCTATGTGTGTGTATATGTGTGTATATATTTATTATGCTAACCATCAGAAAGTTAAACAAAAACAACAGATTGGTGGAAATAAATGGGCGCAGTTTATTTCAAACTGGAAATAGCTGGGAGCCTAGGGACCCAAAACCTATAGTGGGTGCCTACCCGAAGGTACCCGGGCAACCCAAGCAAAGCAAAGGAAGCACACACCTTCGAGGATATCAACATCCACATCGATAGCGCCTCCTTAAACACAGCATCAAAAACCTAGTACACAAGCAGTGTACGCACATACAAATCAAAGTATTACCAGTAGGAGTGTCACACTGACTGGCGATACTGAGGGTAGTTAACAGGTAGGGTATCACATAGCCTGCTATTACTCTAGCGAAGCAAACGCAATGCAATAACAACCAGCAAAAAGCATTTGGCCCCCAGACTCCCCACCACCACTTCTTGTCTATACAAGAATGTCCCACCAAATGCACCACTGCTAGCAAGCCACCAGATTGTTGGTACTAATAAGCTAGAAAGCCAACATATGAATGGTATTCAAAGCATTTTAAAGGCTGTCTAGCAAAATTGTTAAATAATTGTCAATACCCAAATCAGAGAGGTGTGTCCTATCATACACTGGGTCATGGTTCATGCCAGATATATGACTTGTGATGTCATGTTTTACCAAAGTACCCCCTTGGCTACAAACAGCAGCAGCAGCAAACCGATTGACTCTTTTGCACATATGCTCAATAGCAGTATTATTCTTGGCCCCACGCCAGTGTAGTCTAGGAGGCATCTCTGACCAAATTAACTTGGTTTGGGGCATAAGCTTAGTGATAGCTTGAATATCCGCCTATATAACAGAGCATAACTGTTTACCACTTCTATCGACAAGGTCATTGGACCCCAACTGTATAACTCCCTACACACCATCTACATACCATATATACCATGAACCACCACATCATCATGCACTCTCCCACTTACACACCACACAACCTTCAGATCATCTACACCCAAAACACCCAATGAAACACCACCACAACATACACCCTACACACCATCTACATGCCATATACACCATGAACCACCCAGTCCTTATGAACTCTCCCACTTACACACCACATAACCTTCAGATCATCTACACACAAAACACCCAATGAACCACCACCACAACATAAACCCCACACACCATCTACATACCATATACACCATGAACCACCCCGTTTTTATGCACTCTCCCACTTACACAGCACACAGCCTTCAGACCATCTACACCCAAATCACCCAATAAACCACCACCACAACATACACCCAACACACCATCTACATACTATATACACCATGACCACCCTGTCCTTATGTACTCTCCCACTTATATATCACACAACCTTCAGACCATCTACACCCAAAACACCCAATGAACCACCACCACCACGACATACACCCTACACACCATCTACATACCATATACACCATGAAGCACCCAGTCCTTATGCACTCTCCCACTTACACACAACACAGCCTTCAGACCATCTACACCCAAAACACCTCAATGAACTACCACCAAAACATACACCCTACACCCCATCTACATACCATATCCACCACGAACCACCCCATTGTTATGCAATCTAGCACTTACACACCACACAACCTTCAGATCATCTACACCCAAAACACCCCATGAAACACCACCACAACATACACCCTACACACCATCTATATGCCTTATACACCATGAACCACCCAGTCCTTATGCACTCTCCCACTTACACACCACCCAACCTTCAGATCATCTACACCCAAATCACCCAATAAACCACTACCACAACATACACCCCACACACCATCTACATACTATATACACCATGACAACCCCGTCCTTATGTACTCTCCCACTTATATACCACACAGCCTTCAGACCATCTACACCCAAAACACCCAAAGAACCACCACCACCACAACATACACCCTACACACCATCTACATACCATATACACCATGAACCACCACATCATCATGCACTCTCCCACTTACACACCACACAACCTTCAGATCATCTACACCCAAAAAAACCTAATGAACCACCACCACAACATACACCCTACACCCCATCTACATACCATATCCACCTTGAACCACCCCATTCTTATGCACTCTCCCACTTACACACCACACAACCTTCAGACCATCTACACCCAAAACACACCAATGAACCACCACCACAACATACACCTTATACACCATCTACATACCATATGCACCATGAACCACCCCATCATTAGGCACTCTCCCACTTACACACCACACAGCCTTCAGATCATCTACACCCAAAACACAAATTGAAACACCACCACCACAACATACACCCTACACACCATCTACATACCATATACACCATGAACCACCCAGTCCTTATGCACTCTCCCACTTACACACCACCCAACCTTCAGATCATCTACACCCAAATCACCCAATAAACCACTACCACAACATACACCCCACACACCATCTACATACTATATACACCATGAACCACCCCATCCTTATGCACTCTCCCACTTACACAGCACGCAGCCTTTAGTAAATCTACACCCAAAACACCCAATGAACCACCACCACAAGACACACCCCACACACAATCTACATACCATATACACCATAAACCACCCCGTCCTTATGCACTCTCCCACTTACACACCACACAGCCTTCAGACCATCTACACCCAAAACACCCAATGAACCACCACCACAACATACACCCCACACACCATCTACATACCATATATACCATGAACCACCACATCATCATGCACTCTCCCACTTTCACACCACACAACCTTCAGATCATCTACACCCAAAACACCCCATGAAACACCACCACAACATACACCCAAAACACCATCTATATGCCTTATACACCATGAACCACCCCGTCCTTATGCACTCTCCCACTTACACACCACACAGCCTTCAGACCATCTACACCCAAAACACCCAATGAACCACCACCACAACATACACCCCACACACCATCAACATACCATATATACCATGAACCACCACATCATCATGCACTCTCCCACTTACACACCACACAACCTTCAGATCATCTACACCCAAAACACCCCATGAAACA